TCCTTTGCTGTACTATCGGATGTAGTAACCAGCATTTATTGACAGCTGCCAGAAAGGTAGAGAATATGGCACCAACATGTGAACACCTGTCCTAACCCTGCCTTACAGGCCAAATATCACCAATCCCTGTGTGGCGGGGCGTGGTCGGTGGCACAGCTGCAGCGAGGCGGACACACCTGAGCGGCATCAGCAATCACGCCGCACCTGCATTAAAGAGTCCGTACTGGGTCCTGTCAGTGTTATTGTAGTTAGCGTGTGTGGCTGCGGGGTGCAAAGCTGCAGCTGTTTGTGTGTAGCAGCAACCGTGATAATAAAAGTATGCTGGAAAGCACGAGTACATGGTCGGTTTGCCTGCCAGGTTAGTGACCAAAGACTATGGATAGAGTGCTGACTGTGAAACGGACTGAACAGCTGATTTTACCATTGACATCACAGGTGGCGACAAAAATGTAATAAACACATTTGAATAATTTTTATAACAGAATAATTATTCTATACTGTTCTGCTCTTTATTCTGCTCGCTCTTTATTTGCTCAGATTAGTTCTTCACACTCTGGATACTTCATTCAGCTACAGCTCCCCCACTGCTCTGCACAGCCAGCAACCCGTCTGGTTTTCCGGACACACTACCCACTCTGACCTGCTCTGCTCAGGCTCAAAATCCCATCCTGAGCCTGGCAGTAATTATTCATCTTTTATCTGGTTACACTTCCTTATATATTTATTCATCTATTATTTTGTTACCTGTTGAAGATCAGGCTCTGGCTGCTGGGTTGAGGTCAGCAAACTCTCAGCTTTCTTTCTTGGCTAGCTGTGCATTAACATGTTGTCTGTGCGGATGAATGCAGAGAGCCGAAGTTCTGTTAGCAGCATAATGCAGTTGTTTCTGTCTTGGACACAGCTTCACTTTATGTACTGAATGAAATCGATATTGATATTTTTTGCTTTCTATCTGGAATGCAGACAAATGAAAAATGAAGAATCATTGTAACACAAGAAACAACTGTAATGTAATGTTACATTACTGAAAAATATACTCTTATTGTAGTAATCCATTACATTGTAAAACAACAAAAAACTGTCTTTAGGCTGTCTTTTCAGGGGTATTAGTTTTAAGTCTGTCTCTTAAAACTGTCTCCTCTGAGACATGAATTGAACAAATGAATGAATAAAAGTAATTATTTAGACATAATTTGCAAACATAATGAACAATAATCAGTCAGTATGTGCTTCTTGAGTAACACATGTCTTCTTGGATTTGGCATTTGGTTATTTTTAGTGTTCAGATGGAAAATAGGACTGCGTTAAAAGCCCTAGAGACACTACATTTGCTGCTGGTGTGTCGCTACAGGTGCCACTGTGAAAATTAAATAAGAGCCCAGCTAGTGCACAACAATTTATACTTCTTGCCAGAAGTTCAATCCTCAGGTAAGATAAACAGCGAGGTAAACTGCAAAATAAACAGTACACTTAGCTTAAGGCTATACTCATCGTAGCGCCTTTTTCTTGATCAGTACAGTGTGTTTTTAGATGACGCTAAACTGCATTTAGCAGCAAGTTTATTGGCTGAGTAAAGATTCACTTTTGCCTCACCAGACCTTTGACCTGAGGTCAAGGTGGATAAGCAGGACATTGTTTTTATACATGAATTTGCTAACCTCTGGGTTTTTTGCATATCTTGCGGAAAAAACAAAACACCAGACAGATAGGTAATATGGTCCAGTAGTATGAAGACATGAAGTTGGAACTTGCTCTTTATCAGGACTGTGGGTGTGGCCTGGCTACAGTGGGGAAAAAAACGCTCTGTCATCCCCCGTGCCAGGCAGCAGGGAATGGTCATTATCTTCAGGAACAAGTGGTGGATTTTAGAGAGGGATACATGGCAGACCCAGAAAAGCTTGATCACATTCTGTATCACTGCTGTCTGTGCAAAGCTCCATCTGAAAAGAATGCTGGAAAATAGGCCTATCGCTGCCAACAACCACACTCCCACTGTTAGTGGACGCAGGCAGCCGTGTGTGTAGTGCCAAGGCACACTGTGCACCGTTGGTGTTGTTCTAACATACTAAAAGGTCCAGGGTTGTGTATTTGTGATGAGAAACAAAGTAGCCCCTGACTGCTAAATTATCTCACCGGAGTTCAATGTTATGCATAGTGCTGAAAGACTACTGGGGTCAGAGAAGGCCTTGTATTCTGCGCATATTTAATAAAATTTATTTTCAGCTATCATTTTGACGTCTAACAGTTCTGAAAACCAAACAAAAATGATTGTGCTGAATTCTACTTCATAACGATTTACGCACTTGATCTGAAATTGTAATTCCAGTACACCCCCTTTCCTTTACAGCGGTGTACCGCCACTGATGCCTAACAGTTCTAACCAAAGTCACCACTTGACAGAGACTGGTGGGTTTTGTTTAGATTGATGTACTGAAAAAATTGCAATACATGATGTTTTCAGTCGGTGGGTATTTGTGTTGAATAATTCTAATCTCAATGTTGATAGTAATAACCCTGCTTATGATTTTTGCCATTCAAATGGCCCTAGCATTCATTTCCTGCCTCTGTGAGCTGTTGGTAAGCTTATCATTGACAAGCCAATCAGTTTATGAATAAGATGGTAATAGGATCCATTGCTGGATAAACAACAGCACAAAATTTAGTATCCATAAAAAACAAAAAAACAGTCAGAGTAACAAACATGCACATGTTTTTAAAAGTCATGGGTGGTCTGCTAAATCATGTGGGATTAAATGACGAAACAGAAGGGTCCATTAATTTTTCAGATTCAATACACCCAGCTACCCTAGGCTAATGCGTAGCCCTGTTCTGGTTCTTAATAAAGTTGAGGAAAAATTTCTAGCTGGATTTGCTCCACATTGAGTGAATGCATGTAGAGCATCTTCTGGGCAGCAATTGATATGTGGTTTGTCCACTGATGAACAGGGTTTCCCATTCCTTCCAAACATAGTAAGAATCACGTGCCTGCCCTTTCCTAAAAAAGTTTCCAAGGACGTCTCCCAGATGGATCTGTTTAACAAACCATCTGGCACAGAGTTGTTAAACTCTGCTGTTTCAGCTACCTGGGGAAGGTTACCAGTAGCTACTGAGGAAAATGAATGTGCTATCATCATTCTGTTTTGGTTGAGCAATCAAGCCTTAATCTTTCAGAATGTTACAACCAAAAGTTAAATAAGAAAAATACTTGCCTGTTGCCAGTTTAGCCTCTCCATAGACTGCCATAGAATTTATAGATAGAATAGAATAGAATAGAATAGAATTCAACTTTATTGTCATTGCACATGCACAGGTACAGGGCAACAAAATGCAGTTTGCATCCATCCAGAAGTGCTTTAGCCATGATATAAATATATTACAATATATATTAGCAATAATATAGATATGTAAGTATATTACAGAAATTGGTCTATTATGGTATGTTATAATGTATATAGGTAAGATATAGGTAGACATGCGACCTGATCATCTGTTTTGCATGCCAAAAGACAAAATCATTTAGTTTCTCATTTCATTGTAAACCTGTGGAAATTTGCTGCTTTCAAAATCCTTAATGTTAATGTGCAATACTTGAACATTTAGTCATAAAATAAAATTTGCTATATGATTACTTACCTTAGAGTAGCACACCAATCCCTGCATCACACAACTGTAATAGTGATTATGTTTGTACATTTTCAAAACTGTATATTTTGAAATCAATGTGCAGTTTTTCTATTAACACTCACTGTGCTGAAGTTAATAAAGAGATCTGAGCTGTTTAAGTTACTCCTGAGCTGTTTCCCCCCGGAGATTGGACACCCCCAGAGCAGTTGGTTTCCAATACCACGGACATTTCCTTGACCAACAGTCTGAGAAGGAATTATTTCCGGATGCTCCAAGCTTGCTACCGGCAGCAGGAGAGCACGATTAGAAATTCCTTCTAAGCCAGCAGAAATAGGTTAAACCACCTGCTGGCCTTAGGAGCTTTTCTTTGGCTGGTGTTGCAATCTTCTTTCTTAAAGTTGCGAGGCCAGAGACATAGTAAATGTTATTGTTTCTTTTCCTCTTGGTCCTTTTGTTCTGAATGTTTCAAAGAGGCCATAAATCACAGCCACAGCCACACAACACACTCTCTTTCATTTCCTCTTATATTCTCGGCCCTTTAATTTCTTCATGTCTTCCTTTCTGTCTCCTTTAGAACCCTGCTTTTACCCTCTCTGTCTCTGCTCTGTCAACTCTGCCTTTCTGTCAGCCTCTGTGCATGTTTCACAGCAGCCAAGGACCATGTCTGTTACCCCCTCCTACTCTCCAATGTTTGTCTGAAGTATTAGGGGGTGTTGCCTCATTGGATAGAATTAATTGATTAATACTTTTATCCAATTAGTGTTCCCTCATGCAATTAATCAGCTGGCTGCGGTTAGGTCCGCTCCATCAGTTGGATGAAAGGCAGACAGATGCTTTGGGTTTGCTGTGTGATGAACAGTGACCTTTCTTGCTTGCGTTCCCTTTCTCTCACTCCCCCTCTCTCTTTTTCTTACTCTCTCTCTCTTTCCTTCCTATTTTCCTTCCTATTTTTCACATGTCTGGTTTCCTGTCTTTCTATCCCGTTTTCACCATTCTCCAGCAAATTGTTGGAATTCTTGCTGAACACAAGAATCACTAATAGAAAAATGTTCGTTGCAGATAATCCTAACAAAACCGAAACACTTATGGGTTTTGTAGTTCAAAAACACAGAGTTAAACAAAGATAAATTAAACAAAAAAGCGGGGCTATAGGATTTGTTCTTTATTTATTGTTTATTTGTACATTGATTTAATATTGATTGTAAAGAGCTATGAAATATTGACACCAATAACCCACAGCAGGTCAAGTAAGGGAAAAGAAATACAGCTAAAATAATAATAATAATCATTTTGCTGGTTAGTCAATCCTTAAATCTATCAAATAGAAACTATTTCCATGCTGAGGCCATGACAACAATGTCTTTTCTGTTTTACAGGTTCCCTCTTTTCCTGCCTTCAATCCACGATGGAGCTGTCATAATGGCTGAAAAAACACTGTAGGACCTTTTGAAGAATGAACTTTCCAAACCAATGGATTGTTTTGAAGGGCAAAGCTGTCAGAGACCAAACATTATCACCAACAGTAAAATCCTTTGGCCTTTCGTCAGTTCGAGGTTTCTGCTTCAGAAGGTAAAGCCAGCTGTGACTTTTCTAGGAGCTGAACTACTGAAGAGTTTTCTCTTCAGCAAAGTTTAATCAAGTCATTTTTTGGCAGCTTAGTATCAAACCACCTGAAACACACACCAGCTACTGGAGGTGACATGGCTAGAAGTGGAAATGGAAGCACTGCAAGCAGTAATCGATACGAAGTCAAAAATGGATGGAAGCTATCACTCTCAGTCTTCATAGGCATGCTTTTCAACGTCATTCTATGCTTCGCCCCCCTAATTCCTTCAATGATCAGTGAGCCTGTCTAGCAAAGCCAGTTTTTGTTGCTTTCAAAAACCTTGAATAACATTTTCCAAAGTCAATTTGTCCAGCTACTTTCGGTCACATAAACAACATATTAAGAAAAACAAACAATAAAAAAGACCCTATAAGTTGGAGTAAACACTACGAAGAATCAGAATTACTGACAATGTCACAGTGCAAACAGTTACTCTGCAGGTGGTACCACTCCTATATGCTCTCTGACCTGCCCTGTGTTTGGCAGATAACTTCAGATTGATTTCTGATCCCATGGATTAACTTTCAAGCTCTTTCACAAAGACCTTTAAGCGTGTCCTTTTGGAGTTTCATTTCAGATAAAACTACAACAGAAAACCTTCTCTTGTTTGCATGAATCTTTTAAATTACATGTAGACACAGGAAGGATTGTTTTTCTTTTATTTTTTTAAATCAAAATGGCTCCTTCATGGACATCAGGAGTTTGGACACTACTGGCAGCACTAACTCTTCTTAGCTGCAATATTTTTACCTGGTGTGAAGCCTCAAGGACTAGTGGCACAACAACTTCAGGAGAAAGAGAGCAAGAGCAAGGACCCTCATCGCTTGAACGTGTAAAGAGAGGATGGGTGTGGAACCAGTTCTTTGTCGTGGAGGAGTATACAGGAACAGAGCCTCTATATGTAGGAAAGGTAAGACATTATGACTCATTACATAAATATATGAAAAACCTTGTGAACAGGTGTCAATTCCTTGAACTGTTGGTAGTGAAAAGAAAAAGAAAAGAATGTCTCAGCGTGCAATTAAGATATTGGTAAAACATTTCAGGTAAAAAAAAAAATATAATACTCTGGATAATGTTCAGGAAAGCTTTAGTGATGTACTGTGGAGGGAGATTAATAACCCAAGCTATGTTGAGGTTAAAGTCAGAGTTTCATAAAGGTAGCTCTCATTTTACTTGGCTAAATCACCATGGTAACAGATGCTATATGCAACATATTCAAGCGAGCACAAAATTGTCATGGTTTCTTTTTAATTAATAAATTAAAAATTAAATGTAATTTTATTCAATTGAATTTTTAAATTTAAAATTAAATTACATTTAATTTAATTTTAATTTAATTTTCTTTTTTAATTTAAAATAAGCTGTAAGTGTAATATAGATTATCTGCTTAAGGAAGATGTGTTACATATGCAACTAACTGAATGAAAGTTACAGCTGTAAAGTTACAGCAGTAAGAAACTTTGTAAAGGGTGAAAACTACTGTCTCGCTGGAATTGCAGCTAATAGAACTCAGAAAAATAAAAAAACAGAAGTTCTATTTCTAAGAACAAATAAAATGTATTATGTATTGAACTTTTCCCAAACTAAACTGATCTTCTTATCTCATTTATTAGGCTGTGAGAGAATGTCAGACCTGAACACACTGATTAACATTTAAATAATTTAAATATTTAAACTATAGAGATGAACATGCAGCAGCTGATACGTTAGGAAAAAATGAAAGATCTTCTGCAAGAATATTCTCTTATCTTTGGATCACCAGTGCTGCATTTTACTGTTATCCTTTTTATACTCTTTAGTGAACTTTATCACCAATTCTTATGATAATGTTACGAGTGTCTGGAGTTGGTGACACTCATAACGTTTAGTGCTGAAGAAGAGTCAAATGATGCATCAAATCCCCCCTTTTGTGAGTGTGCATAGAAAGTGATGCCGAAAGTCTGACTTAACAAAGAAAGTCGATAACCTCTGACACCTGTTTCTCTAAGTAAGGTTTCAAGATTTTGTCAAGACAAAAAAAATACTTGCCAACTTCCTTTGCAGTAGGGACAAATTCCCAATTTGTTGTGAAAATACTCCAGATGCCTTATGTTATCAGGATGAAAGCATTATTTCTAAGAACCTCTCCCAATCACATAAGACTTTTTAATGAGCAATTCAGATCAGTTCCTTTAAGCAAATGCTGCTGTTGTCCTTGTGAAACAGGGTAAATAAAGTGGCCAAACATAGATATACAGCAAAACAAACAGGCTTTCAAGGGCAGACATGCACTTATATATGAATCTGCTGTTTGAGGAGCTTAACACATAGTTACTCACCTACGTTATTTTACATGATAATTTATGTGACACCAGCATGTCTCCTTTAAAATACTATACTCTGCTAAAGCTGTTAAAAGGTATACATATTTTATAGAATAATACATGTTCAATCTAGAATATACTGTAGACTATTTTGCTGTAATATTTGTGAAACCAAAATAATCAAATATAACCCCTTCAGCTCACACAGCCATCAGAAAGGCAATAGCTGGAATCACTGTCAGATCCTTACTTAGTTACTTTGAGTAGACCATGATCGTTGAGTGTTACCATAAGAATTCAAGAGAAGCATTTTCATTGGGCTCGGAAATCAGCTGACAGTTCCTGCAAGCATCCCTATCCTGCCCAAACCTTTACACACAGTTGTACATACAGAAAAAAGTCCACACAAATGACATTTGTAGATTTAAACTAAATATACTGTTTAGGCATCTATGTGTTTGCATTAACTGTCAACTCCTCATAAAAATCTGCATATTTATTCAGTTTACATAAAAAAGAAAATGATTTTAGTTCAGGATAAAAGTGTGATTTGGTCAAAGTCAAAGCTCAACTACATTAAAAGCATTTTTGAACGGTCTAATTATGCACTTCTTCTAATCAGTAACCACAAATGCTTCCCTCTGCTCTTTGGCATTTGCTTTGTAAGACAAAGATGCAAAGTGGCCAGAATTGTTGCCAAAATGCATCACTTGAAGCCACTGAATTACTAAACAGACAATAGCACTAAAACCTTGCTTCCAATCAACAGTAATTTCATTGTAGTTGCATTTACGTGTCTTCTTTTTAACCTGCATAAAATTACCGAGTTCTTGAGATCAAGACCCTGACACTTTGAATGAGGAGCAAGAAATTAAATCCAAGTGGTTTGCTGCTAAGAACTACCTCTGAACAAACTCTAAACAATAATTTCAGCTTTTCTGTAATGCAAACACTGTGGCTATTCAAAGCAAAAGTGCTGGACAGACGCGTATGGATTTTCCAATATAATGTAGGAAATATTGTCTTTAATGTTGACTTAAGGTAGGCATATACCTCCCACATGACTCATGCTACTGAAGGGAAGGCGCCATTTTTAAAGAACATAAATACTTTGAGCTGTCAGGAGCTTTTTGGCTCCTGTGCAATGTAAGAGTCACTGTGGCTTCCAGACTTCTTTCAGTTCTTGAGCCAGTCTCTCTGAAAACCGTAGCCCACTGGCTTAAAATTGAGTACTTCGATCTCATGCTCCACATAAAAAGCTTTCAGAGATTAGTCTTCAAAGCCAATTTTGCTCAGAAAGTCTCGAACTACAATATTTTTCTTTTCCTCACAGTGTACCAAGTGAATGGAAAAAAAGTCATAGATTACTCCATTACACTTACTTAGTCATAATCAAAACAATTACAAATTATTTAGTTGATACTAAATTACTAATTTGTATCACTTTTTTTTAAAGCTGACTAAAGTCCTTATTAAACTAAAAAAACAAAAAAGAAAACAAAAGCAAGGAACTATCTTACCCACCTGTCTTCGAGACATCTAAATCTGATGTTTTTGTCTTATTTTCTGTTCTCTAAAAAGTTCCTGCTCCAGGGCTAGCACTGTCTGATCACCTTGGGAAAATGCACAAAGACACTCACTTGTCAAACACTAGCTTGTCTGCTACAGTTTGTCTACAACATGTACAAATTCTCACGTTATGCAAAAAAGTATATTAAAAAGTCTTTTTATATTTAATTGTAATGAGCAACTATACCAAAAATAACTATCAATAAATACTTTGCAAGTACAGTGTAGTTAAAGACACTTTAATATTGTTCTTTAATACTCTTTAATACATTTTTAGCCAATTTGTTAAATCATAAATGAAGCCATAAAAATTCTGTGTTTTTTTTCTCTTTGGTGTTTGTTAACAAAGCCTCTGTACTTAGTGATGACAGCCTCAGCAATGCCCTTCCTTTTGATGTTGAGGACAATGTCTTGACACCAGAAATGTGATCAGTGAATGCCATTTTGTAATGTAATCATAGTTAATGGGTATATGTCAAATGAAATCAGTTTGTTATCATGTCAGTAGCAAGTGTGCATTCATATATTTTCACTTTTTTTTTTCATTTCGTCTCATTCACATCCCATTCATCAGCTGTTGCTCATACGATCCTCAGTGACTTGATGAGAGTGGACACCGCGTATGATTCGATTGCTTTACGTAGGACGTGATATGAAAAGACAGAACATTAAAGCAGACAGAATGAGACACGGTAATGAGTCACATGCATCAATCATGAAATCCCCTTGTTTCTAATCAGTTAGACATGGCAATTGACCAGCTAATATTGCATCTGCATATATTGATCTCTCTTTTCTTACAAATGAATGCAGATGTTCTTTGTACCAGAGCCTGGTCTTGCAGAATAATTATCCTTTGATCAGTATTTTTCTGCAATTGTGAACGTGACGAATTCCTGCTGGCAAAACCAAAGCAATCCAAACAATGCAACAGGCAGCACTGTCTGTCTGCTGGTAGAGCAAGAGACAGAATAAAGCTGAGTGACATATGAGAAAAGGAATGAAGCGAGAGGAAGGCTTCAAAGGGAGACTGGAAAACAAGAGCCTTCATACACTGACTGGTGATTCATTAAAAGGACAGGGTGCCAGGGAAGACAGTGAGCTGATATAAAGGAGCTTAAGGGAAGAGCTTGAGGGAATGATGCAGCAGGAGGGAGAAAAGAGATGATTTTATTAATAAAATTATCAGGTTATTGCATTTCATGTCACAAGGGCAGCAGCCAGTGCTATTTATGGCGTGCGTAAGTGTGGATGTGATTGTCTGTGTGTTAATACACTGTGGTTACTGCCAGTAAAGTCACTTTTCTAGTAAGACGGTCACTTACATGCATTTGATCTGGAAGATTTTATCTGTGTATTTAGATAAATACCAGTTGTGTACTTTAATGATCTAAAACGCATTCATTTTCCTAGCTCTTTTTCAAAGCTCTGTGCGGTGATAAAAGGAAGGGAATTTGGGCAAAGAGAATTGCTGCACAGCACAGGTAATCCTAAATGGCTGTTGTTAAAGGAAGTAGACAGGGAAAATGATACATTCTTCATCTACTCTGGGTTTTTCTTGGTAGTTTTTTTTCCTCTTCTATGTTGACAAATGCTGTCAGAAGTAAATCCATTGTGAGGGTGAATGTGTACGAGGTGGACAATTTTTGCAGCGTGTGCACACATTTTATGCTCACTATAGAAACGTGTACAGTTTCAGTGTTGTCTTTATGTCTTTTCAATTTTCTCTGAACTTTGTGTCTATATCTGAGATGAGTTTTTGCATACTGTCTCAGCAGTGATAAAGTGGTTGTTACAGTCCATGTCACACTCCAAGGTGCTTCTTATCCCGTTTTAATTCTTAACCCCAATGAAACAAATTGACTTTTTAAAAATAGATATTTTTCTCATACATCATTTGTCTTTTTGAAAATTATTAATTTGATTTATGGTGTATCAAATTCTGTGTCTGATTTTGGTTGCAGCAGGTTTGTTGGACATAAAGTAAAATCCATTTAAATGGTAAAAATCAAAAGAGGCTTTTTCTTTTTTTTTT